CTATTTTTTTTTTCTGTGTGTTTTAAGATAGTCTATTTACTCATGAGCTCATATATGTAGTGTGTATGGAATTTGTGTGTTAAGGTCAAGAACAGATTTAATTTCAGAAAACAGTATTTTATTTTTTTGCTTATTTTACATGCCAACCACAGTTTTTCATTCCCTCCTCTCCTCCTATTTCCTTCCCCCCCACATAACTTCTGTCCCTGTCTACTTCTCCTCTCTCTCCATTCAGAAAGGGACAGACCTTTCATGGGAGTCAACAAACATGCCATAGCAAGCTGAGGCAGGATCAAGCTCCTTGCCCTGCATTAAAGCTGAGCATGGAATCCCAACACCGGGACTAGATTCCTAAAAGCTTGCTCATGTGCCAGGGACAGATCTTATTCCCACTGCTAGGGACCCCACAAACAGACTAAACTACACAACTTTCAGCAACATGCAGAGGACCTAGTTCAATCCATGCAGGCTCCTCACCTGAAGGTCTAGGTCGTGAGCTCCCAATAGCTCCGGTCAGCTATCACTGTGGCTTTCCCATCATGATCTTGATCCCATTCACTCAGATAGTCCCCCTTCCCTCTCTTCAACTGGCCCAGTGCTTGACTGTGGATCTCTGCACCTGTTTCGGTTGGTCAGTTATTGATTGAAGGTTCTATGATAACAGTTAGGGTTTTATCGCCAGTTTGCCAAAATAATTTGATCTAAAGCATGTTAGTCAGCTCTCTTCCCGTGGAGTGATGCCTTGGGTCTTGGTGTTGAATGAGGTGATAAAGGCAGGTCAAATGCATTTCATCACTTCTTTCTCTGCGTTTAGAGAGAAAATGACTTTCTTTCTGTCTAAACCATTTAATGTAGGACCAGTGGTGAGATCACGCAAGTCTTTCTTTTCTGTAGAACTAACTGTAAAAATAACTCTTTGTAGAACAGTGATGAAAAGTGTTTTGTGCAAGGAAGACACATTGAAACGATAGGAGAGTAAGATACCATTTGCTGGTACTGTAAACCTAGTAGAATATTCTTGGTGCCACTAAATGTAAATGTATTAAAAATCATGAGAGATGGATGAGGAGAAGGTATATTTGAAACTCTTTGTTCTGGTCTTCTTTTTTTTTTATCATCAGACAAAGCGTTTAGGATGCTTCCACTAAACACATGCAAACCATTCAAACCAATGTTTTCATGAAGTAAAACCTCATTTCCAGCAACTTGAAAGGAACTTCTCTTATTATTTCAGAGCTTCTAGAAAGGCAAATTCTAACCATGAAATCATTAAGATTTTCAGAGTAGACATATTATAGTTTCATCAATAAAAGAACAGGCTAAGCATCTACAAAGTACAGAAATCTAATGCTTTCATCTGACTGTTAATTATCACAAGTAAACAGTAAATAGAGCCTCATTTCTCTGACATTGAGAATTTGTCTCCTCGAATCAGTCATAGGAAGTTTCCTAAGAAATAAGAAAAAGGAATAATACTTGCATTTAATTTAATTTAAATGATATTTTTCCTGCCTTTAATTATAGTCTGTATGTTTTCATGCTCTGATGAGCAGGGTTGGGACTAATTTACCAAATGTTATGACTTAGGGTATCATGTGTGGGACTTGTCAAAACGATAGTTTTATTTGAAGTGTCTGAAGTTCCCATCTTTGACTTGCATAGCATTTTGGGACTTGGGGAGTCACTGATGCAGCACTTTAAGAGGATTAGATTTTCCTGACTTCTCAGCATAAGAGTTTTTAAGCATATAAAAAGCGATGTGGTCTTGGTGATAAGACAGTCAGCAGGGTGTCTGTGTGACGCTGCTTTGCTTTTAAATGGCTTGGTCTGGAGTTTGAATCCATAATCCACTGGTGGAAAGGTTTTAAGATTCGCAGGCAAGGAACGATGGTGCTCAGAAGCCATCATCTTATAGTAGAAGCTGGTAGATAAGCAGACTATGAGAAGTTAGACCTCAAGGAAAATGGAGAATCAAATCAAGATAAAAATATTGTTAATGCTGAAAAAAATTAAAGTTCACTCTTGAGATGTTAGACCACTAATGTAAAAGTGTAGGCTCTCCTTAGCTTATACAATATGAAAAAAAGCTACTAAAGTTTTATGCAGATTTATCTGCAATCTTACCATTTCTACACTTTAATTAAAATATGTTTTAATGTAGTGAAAACTTGTGGGAGAAAAATGGATCTTCAAATTTTAAATGTTATAAAAAAACTTCTATTACTTTCAGCTTTCCATGTAAAATAAATGAGCTTACAATTTTATGATCATAGAAATGTGAAAGAAAAGAAGACCTGTGCCTATTATACTAAAAATCAATACAAAATCCAAGAACAAATTAATTTATGAAATATTATTTCAAATAACTTTGTTTTCAGATAAATCAGTACAAAGAAATATACTATCAGGAAATATGTAAAAATGAGTTATCAGAATTGAAAGACTTTCTACCTTTGAAAGTTGCTGCATAATTCATAAATAATTATTGCTCTCTGCTAGCTGTGAAGGTTTCCACTGTAAGCCAGGCAAGCTGTTCTTGAGCCAGAATTAAATGAGACAAGGAAGAGTTTGTGAAGGCACCAGCATGCAGTGCCGAGAGTTTTCTAAAATTTTAATGATGGGTTGAGTGTGTCTTTAGTCTCTTAAAGAGCAACCAAGGAAAGGATGTGCATCCCAGCAGTGTGTCAGGGTGATGTAAGACTTGAGACTGCTGAAGACACTGAGTTGCAACACCCTGCAGAAAAAGCCTTTGTGTGAGGCTTTCTACACCCATTTCTCATTTTCACATCAGCTTCAGAAAGCCATGAGTAAAGAAAATCAGGCACAAAGTCAAACTATTCGACTGCCACATACGATTACGGTGTGTGTACACATGTTAGAACAAAACATCATATAGTGAAGTGAAAGCCGTTATTTGAAAATAGGACCCATGTATTAAGCCCATGTTTGACAAAAGGTGTAGTGTTTGAAATTCTCTCCTATAGAAGGTACAAATGTGTATTAGGTGGGAGATGAATCATGGAACAACTTGTAATTTCAAATACCACAATAGTTTGTTTTATAGGCATGCTGCAAGCTGGTGCCAAGGTGTCTTACAAACAATTTGTACATAAACACCTTTCAAATTTAATGACTTTAGATCATTTTATATATATATATATACATATTACATAAAGAGCTATATGACTATTATTTGATTCCTTAGAGCTTTTTAACACATCCCCTTGCATTTATTTAGACAAATTCTTAGGATCGAGTGTAACATGAGGGCTGGCTTGTTGGGGTTTCTGTCCCGCCCAGTACCCCACAACCCGCAAGCCCCAAAGAAAATCACACACAGGACTCCATAAGGCTATAAACTGATTGACCCATTAGGTCAGGCTTCTTGTTAACTCTTATAACTTATGTTACCCCATTATCCTTATCTACATTAGCCACATGGCTCCGTACCTTTCTCATCTGGGCAAGTTACATGCTACCTCTTCGGTGGTCTGTGCAGGAGTGGCAGAGGGAGCTTCCTGCCTCCCAGAATTCTCCTGTTCTCATTGCATCACCTTACTTCCTGTCTGGTTTTCCCGCCTATACTTCCTGCCGGGCCAATCAGCATTTATTTAAAATATGATTGACAGATTACAGACAATTCTCCCGCACCAATTGAGTTTTTTTCTAATTGTTTATTTTTCAGTTATATTTCAGATTTTGGTTTTGTTTGCTTCTTTGAGATAAAGTATCACTATACAGCTCAAGCTGGCTGGAAACTCATTATGCAGCTTTAGGCAGGCTTTAAAAGAGCCAATTGTCCTTCCTCATTCTAAAATTGTAGACAAGCTTCATAATATATTAAAAATAATAAATTCATTTAAAAATATAAAATCACTTTATTGCAAAGAACTCACAAATGCAGACGTCACACACCTAGAGGAAGGTAGCCAACTCCTCACATACACCCTCGCATAAACTCAAAATCCACTTGCCTCCATGGTTTGTTCCACTAGAGTGGCTATTCAGAGTCAGTGGGGTATTTTGCCTTAGGCTTTACACTATCACTGTTAATTGCATATCTGTGCACTAATTTATCACAAAAATGGGAAAAAAGTACAATAACAGCAGATATCAGGAAAAAAAATAGCAGTATGTACTCCATGGTGTATAAGACATTTTGACTACATTCTATTCTTTTTCATCTAATGTTATGCCTTTTTAGACTAAATGTCAAATTATGTCTACACTCATTTTTAAAACCCAATTGCTTCATAATATTCTTCTTGGACTTTAAAGTATTGATTTTAATTTATGAATATTAGTGACTGTCCATTGGCACTCAAGCGGTGTGCTAGCCACTGACTGTGTGAGAGTGGAGGGAAGAGGCACAGTTTAAGGATTCACGCAAGTAAAATCAAATGACAGCACATACAGCATCCGCACCAAAATGAAAGCACAATCATGGGTGAAAGCAATTGCTAAAAAACGACTGTATGATTCAGTGAAATCATGAGAAAATATGTCATCGAGGGAAAGGAACTATAATTTTGAGCAAAATATAACTTTATGAGTGTCAATCACCTAGATATTTTCCAGTGGTCTGTATATATAGAAATAACAAGGGGTAATTGTTACAGAATGTGCAATACAAGGCAATCAAGCAAGGCTTTGTGCATAAAGGGTACTTCCCCACTCACACCAAAGAAGACCTTATACATTGTTGCTACATATGGACAGCAAGAACCAGTGTCATCTCAAAGACAAAATACTTTTAAGACTCAAAATTAGTTCTTTTTATCTGATAATATCATTTCTTCCTGGAGGGTTAGGCCTTAGTTCAGGCTGGGTTTTATTTTACAATTTCATTTTTGTGTTTTGCCCAAGCAGTTATAAAAGAATTCTCAATTAGCCGTCAAGTCAACTCTGAAATTGTGTGTGCAAGAGAGTTGAATATGTGCATATTGCCCTACTTCATGGTGTCTGATGAGATTTCCCACAGCTCCATCTTTCTCTTCCAGGTGACTATGTGGTCATGTCTGTGTACTTTGATCTGAGCAGAAGAATGGGGTATTTCACCATCCAGACGTACATCCCCTGCACACTCATCGTGGTACTATCCTGGGTGTCCTTTTGGATCAATAAGGATGCTGTTCCTGCCCGAACATCTTTAGGTGAGGCATACTTCTAGGTGCTCTGGTTTCTCAAGACAAATACCTGAGGAAAAAAATCACTCCTTATTTCTCTTTTTATGTGGGTTCACCCAGAATTCAAAAGCTAAAAAAATCCATTTTTATTATTTTCATTAAAGTAATATGACTATTTTTCATTTACTGTATTTAAGGGTTACTAATTCTATAGTTCTTCTTTAATTGGGTCAGTATTTCTGTAGCACAATTAAATAATACATATAACTAAAGATAAAATCCAAAAAAATCAAGAGAGTTTTGATTTTTTTATTACCCTCTACTCTTTAGACTTCTCCACATGTTTTCATGATAACTGACAGCATTTATCCTTTCTCAATCATTTGCTTAGTGATATTATGATTTTATAAAAGAGTTCAAAATCTGCGAATGTGGGAAATTTAGTATCTTGGGTAAAGGAAGTACAGAAAACCAAGCACTGTTGTTTTCTAGAATCAACTGTTACCCTTTTCCTAGCATACCACTCCTGGCTAATGCCATACGATTCATTTCTGTGATGATATTTAACTAAATTGGCTCCAGAAGAGCCATCTAAATGATTAATAAGCGGGAAACACTTACTGACAAATCTAGGGAACACAGTTGTTTTATGATAATTTGCAATTTAGTCAAAATTTTAGATTTGGCTATCCCTGTCTTAGATTTTTATCTATTTCTTATATATGGAAGAAGAATTCCACAAACCAAAGCAAAACTACTGACTAACAAGAACGGTCTCCATCCACAGAATGAATGATCTTTCTACATGAAACTCAATCATTAGCCATGTGTAACCTGGTTCTACGTGTCTTGTTAGTCCCGTGGTCAGGGAAGCAATATCAGAACATGGGTGCTGAAGTTCATTGATCTTTATTTCCAGCCATACATACAATAGAGCTGTGCAGTAAACCTCTTTCTCTCTAATCCATGGTTTCATCACATGCAAAATATGTATCATTCTCGCTCCTAACTTGAAGAGTTTACTGGGCTAAAGTAACATGTTCCATGCAAAGAACATTAGGCAGACAAAAGCCTCAAAAAATGATAGTGACTCTTATCATTTCTGATTAAATGATCTGTACCAGGTTATTAAACTGAGGGCAGACGTGACTACAGGGAGAAAGAGAACATTTGCATATCTGTCCTCTTCCAAACCCAATTTAGTTTCCCATCTGTTTCGAAGTGAAGTTATTTTGATTTTTCTGATATATGCAGTACTTTGTGTTACAAATCCTATTCACCAATTCAAATATCCTGTCTAATGCCACATACTGAAACAAACTTCAAGTATGTTAAGCCTAACACTGCAGAGTGTTCCGTGTGAGCATGTAACCATCTCTCAAGAGAATTTGTAGATGTGTTGCTCATCTCTGGCAAAAAGCTTCCAACGTGCTACTGCACAAGTAACTATTCTGTTAATTTATATGTTTATGACAAAATACTCTGAAAAATTCCAATGTACCATCTTCCCAAAGTTATTTTAAGGAAAACATTTCAGTCTTTATTTTTTTGTGTGAAGGCTGGATTCTTTCTACCAATATATTGTTTAAGACCACATGATCGGTTCATTTCAACCACTCAGTAACAAGTGTTCTCTAACAAGAAACCATTTGAAAAGAAAGAGATGGAGGTAGGTTGAGGGGAGGCCCTTGCTAAGACAGGAAACACGTTCTGCTTTGATCATGTGTCGATCAGTGATGGTCAGTGTTCCTGGTGCCGTTATTGCATGTCGCAACCCTTCACAGAAAGAACCATCATAGAGTGATCACAGGAAGAAGCTGCAATGATTATCATACTTCAGAGCTGAGTTAAGCATGCAAATATGCTGCGAGTTAAGTAATAGTCCCAAAGTCACACAGTCAGTTGGCAACAGACATGCACCTTGGAAAATTAGACATGGGTTTGTTCTAGGTATGAGGACTTGCTGAATTCTACTTATTGTCAAAGTACAGAAGCCAAGCTGAGCGTGCATCTATCTTAAGTTTGTTATCAGTTATCTGGATCAGTGCTTCTTAAATAACAATATATTAATATCACTGAGAATGCTTTGGAAGCACAGGAAACTTATTCCCACCCTGTAGACACATTTTTTAGGCTGCTAGCTCACAACAAAATGACAAGGAGACTTATTATTCATTATGAATACTTGACCTATAGCTTAGGCTTGTCCCATTAGCTCTTATAACCTAAATTAATCAATTTATTTTCTATTCAATCTATTAAGAATTTTTAATATACTGTTTTCTCATTTTACCTAGCTATTCCCATGCCCTCTCCCTCCCTTTCTCATTTTTATTTACCTATGTTTTGCCATATGACTTGTGGCTTTTACCTATTCTGCATCTCTCTCTCTCTCTCTCTCTCTCTCTCTCTCTCTCTCTCTCTCTGTGTGTGTGTGTGTGTGTGTGCGTAGCTGGTGACCTGACTTTATTTTTCCCAGAACCCTCTCTGCTATACCTGCTGCCTAGCTATTGACTATTTAATTCTTTATTAAACCAATCACAGTGGCAATCTTCCTGCAGTGTACAGGAATATTTCACAACACCACTTCATGGGGGTGCTTATTTCATTTACCTTGAGCCTAGCCCACATTTGGACTTTTTTTTTAATCCCAAGTGAGTCAAATATCCAGTCACTTTTCAGAACATTCCTGTATATTTGTGAAGTTCCATGATCTTTTCAGGCATTTGTAGTCAAAATTTAAATGAGACTACCTTGAATACCTACAGATTTTGAACTTCTTGTCTCAGAACAGATTCAGCTGACATGTGTGATGGCAGAGCCACTGAAAGCACTCAGAAAAATCGATTTCTTTCTGAGGACATATTTCTGGATCTTGTAACACATGAATGTGGTTTGGTACAAAGCTGGTAACTTGGGAAAGTTAATCACGTTATAGTGAGAGCAGGGTGCACAGCAAGATGAAAACAGAGGCTGGTATTTTTCACTCAAGTATTCTGAGGTGAGACAGCATCCCTGAGAAACTCACTTCATGCCAGGGTGGGAGTAATTAATAAAAACTGTGCATTTCATTTCTCTTGCCAAGGTAAGAGAAATTTAATTTCAGTAGGTAAAACTGGGATTCAAGAGTATATCAAGTTATCTTGTTGGTGATTCACGTAAAACCCTGACTTCCCTACTTCCTAATGTCATAGTTTTTCTCTTTTCTGTGACCCCTGGAAGCACCCTGGAAATGTGAAGAAGCAGTTCCTCAAGATATACATTGCATAGCTGTGATGAACATCCCTGTGTCCTAAGTACCGCCTTTCACTCTTGTGAGATCAGTATTTAAGCAATGTGTCTAAATTTGTTTTTTATTTAACTGTCACATGCCAGATCTTCTGAAATGAACTCATCCGTGGTCTCTATCAAAAATAGCTACATTTTTCACATTTTCAAAGTTCAAGTGTAGCTTCAGGCCTGATTGTGAAAATGTAGGCCTGGTTTCCAATCCAGTGTTTCACATTCTCTCCAAAAATATAAGATGTAATTAGGTACAATCAAGAAGTTCTATTTGAATTAATGTGTACCCAACCTAATTAGTTTCTTTTAGCTTCGGAAGTAGACTGTCTCCAAAATAAACAACACACATATCTAGCCGTACTTGGGACTTTGTTTGATGTCAGTGTCCTGTGTTAGTCAGTTTTTCATCAGTGTAGCCAGTATATAAAGTAAATAAATGTGAATGGAAGAAAGATTTACTTTGGTTCAAAGATTCAAAGGTTTCAGAATGTGGTCACTTGGCCTTGCTGTTCTGAACTATGGGATATCGTGGTTGAAGTTCATAAAGAAAGAATTCTGCTATGTCACGCAGATAGATGTGAGCTGGGGAGAGGGAGTGAGACCAGCATCTTAATATCTCTTTATGTGTGCACTTAAAATGTCCTGACTTCCTCTCCTATAACTAAATGTCACACCATGTTCCCAAGTGTCAAGCTGAAGACTGTTAGCACATGGAGCCTTGAACGACACTCCAAATCTTCAAAACAATACCATCTACATTCATTAGAACATTATTTAATGTTCACAAAGATATCTAAGATATCTAAGATGCACCACTGTTTTCCATGCTGAACTCTAAGCTTAACACTATCTAAACCAATAAAAAAAACTTCCCCTCCAATAACTGGTGGTGGAGGATCCCAGAACTGCATAACTTCCCAACTCAGGATAATTCAAAAGTTCTCAGCTTCCTAAGATTTTTATTCTATATATTTTCTTGTATTTACAAATACATATGGAAATTAAAAAGGTAGTCCAGTGTAAAGCAGTTGATGTTAGGATGCCCACATTTTTATTTCACCTCCATCGATACTAGTCTGGAGAGAACATGATTCCTCTTGTGCTCTGGGTGGTATGATAACTTCTGAGGTAGTTATATTTTTGTGCAAATCTTAGTTAGATAGTGTCACTTACACATTCACCCATCTCTCCTGTTGAGTAATTTTAAATGGTTTCCCCCTATCAAAGAAAGACAATTCCCTATATTACATGTATAATGCATGATTAATACAATTTCTATTTTACCAATATCCCCTTGATCTCCTTGTTTCTCTGCAGATGGCAGGCACCCTAAATTTTCATAAATAGACACGATTAACTTTTCTCAGACTCTACCCTTAATTTATTAATAGCCCAAAAGCAGATTTCACTTTACCTTTGAAGCTTCAATTTCAGCTTGGATGTCTCTAAAGTCCTCCTATGTGAACTCCGTCTAAGGAAGTTCTCTCCATCCCTACCTTTTCCGTGGCATCTATCAGAAATTAAAATTAGGATTTTCTTTCTTAACTTCATTCATACTGCTTCTTCTCACTAAAATACAAAGCACCAAGAACAAGATCAATTATATTTCTCATTATGTACTCAGTGCTATCCAGGATAATTTGTACCTAAAAGACAGACAGTATTTTGGAGAGAGTGAATTAATTCTAGTTTTGCAGTTACTCATCCCTTCCTAGGGTGTTGATTAGAAGTGATATTTCCAGAACGGAGGCTCAGATTGTCACCTTACTGATGACATCATGTGATCACCTTTCTTGTGCTTCTCTATAGGTATCACTACTGTCCTGACCATGACTACTCTCAGCACCATAGCCCGGAAATCTCTGCCCAAGGTCTCCTATGTCACGGCAATGGACCTCTTTGTATCTGTTTGCTTCATCTTTGTGTTTTCTGCTCTGGTGGAATATGGCACCCTGCATTATTTTGTCAGCAATCGGAAACCAAGCAAGGACAAAGACAAAAAGAAGAAAAACCCTGTATGTATCATTTTCCATCAAAACAACTCAACTCCTAGAAAAAAGGTCATTGGATTTGGCTTGGGTTTGGAATGGGGAGCTTACTTGTATGCTGAGGCTCAGCACATTGAAACAAGAGGGAATTAAGTGAGGTTTTGAGCATAATATACAGGTTTATTTATGATCATTAGTTAGGTCAGAGTTACAAGATACTCTAAGGCAGACTCTTTATGCAAATATAATTGTCCATTGTCTTCAATATGGGGGATTAAAGCAATGTCTAGGAATACATTCATGTTTGAGTTATTATTCTACGGGTCATTGACTCTCATCTTATTATGTTTTTAGTTAAAAGACACACCAAAGTGATTCTAAACATTAGTTTATTCTATTAGTTTACCAGTCATACTAATTTGTAAATAACTTACTGTGTGTGTGTATGTATGCACATGTGTAGGTGTGTGCATGTGTTATATTCATATATGCATTTTTCTACTAGAAGGTTTCTTATCATTGCATACCTACATGTGTCTTAAAAATGGTTTAATATTCTGTGGGCAAGTTAATTGGCCTTCCTGTCTTTGCTTTTTCATATCAAATAAGATGGTTATATCAAAACCAAGGTCAAATAAGGCTGATACAAAATAAAAATATTATTATGAAGATCAAAAATCAAGAAAATATTTTAAAAGTTATAAAAAAGTAAAATGATGGTTCTTTATCTTGGTTGATAGTAATAGGAGTTGATACTGACTGCACAGTTGACAACCTGGTTTTTTATTTTTGGTGACTGCTTGATTTGGAAACAGGTAAGATCACATATGCTTGAACTAAACCATAAAAGAAGAGATTGTGGCATACATATAAATAAGCAAAGCTCTTATTTTTTTATGGTGAATGTTGAGGACAGCATATAGATACCTATTTACCCACTTTGGTCTAGTGTCTGGGTTACAGAAGCCCCCTGGAAAGTGAAAATTCATTTCCTTTTGAGAGGATGACAAAAGTAGTGACGCTACTCTCCTGGACTGAGACCCTGCCCTGGTTTTCTGCTCTGAGAGGCATGAGCAGTATTACAGTGGCTACCAATCTTGCCATGAACTGTGGGATGACTAGAAAACTCTAGTTGGCTCTGTCTCATACCCCGATGCACCTCCAGAAATACTGAAGACATTTTACAAGTGACACATGTTTGTTTAAAAGTAAGACTTTGTGGAAGGTAAATAACATAGCATCACTATTCTTACTGGTTAAGGAAAATAGGAAATTTGCTTTTTTTCAATGTCCCAAATATTTATTGTACTGTGTGTGGTCCTTCCTATCCCTGTTTGTTCTTATGTCTCTACCTTTCCATTTTTCCTATTCTTGTTTGAATTTTCTTGCTCTAAATTTTGTTTCTCTACTTAATACATCTACTCGTTTCCTAATTCATTCTCCCTCAAATAAGATGGCTATACTGATACTCATCTATGATGAGGATGGGATGCAGGCTTTTAGGTGAAACCTGAAGTCCTTTACAAAAGTCCCCTGGCTTTCCTTATCACTTTAGTGTAGAAATTGCTACAGAGACAAAAATAATTGGATTCCTTAACTCAAGTTCATGGCAATAGAAGAAGAAAAATCTCAGGGAGACATGAAGAGAGACCAGAACAAACAAGAAAATGTAATTCCTTGAGAATATTACACACTTTTTCCTTTTAAGCCAATTTGTTTACTAATCAAAACTAGATAGCAGTCTAGATAGTGAAGGTCTAAGAAGCTGAAAATGTATTTCCTTGTTTAATGTGTCCTTCTCTCCTTGTCAGGACTCACATATGAGGTCCTCTTTAGTGGCAACCACACAATTCATACTATTTTTCTACAGACAAAGTTTTTACTAGGATGTATCCTTGCAACTGAACAGCTTTGACCTTCACAGTCATGTACTTGTGGGTTAATTTGCTTAGGATTTGATCACCAATCACAAAATGTCATTTTCTAACTTTAGACATGCTAATTGTGCCAACCTCAGAGCCCACCTTCTGTGTTTATGCTTTCAGTTTATTTTACTTACTGCGTTTTCAAAATGTATTTTTAATTTGTCTTATTTTGTTTCTCTTTCTCTTTTTATTCCTTTTCCTTCTTTCTATTAAAAAATGCATTCTCTTTTCTGTCTACAAATCCAAAGCTTCTTCGGATGTTTTCCTTCAAGGTATAATGTTTTGGAATGGAAATTTCACTGCATGCCACTGCTAAATTAACTATTAATGCTTTTCATGGTGCTTTTTGTATGAGTAAACGTTTAAGTAGTCTACTATATGATGACACACTCAAGGTGGAGAATATTCTATAGCTCTCTTGAACTGATTCAGCGACTAGACTATTTGTGTAGGTTTTAATTCTATTCTCAGCTCATAATCACAAGGCCAGTAGTAATCACAGGTAACAGGGCTTCAATAATCCCAAAGCCCAAATGGACTGTGCAAATGAAATACATTTCACTGTCTATAATTTACATATATATATACACACATATATATATATTAAGTGTATATACTTTTAAAGCTAAACTTTGACTCTGTAAACACTAATTAAAATGATGTTTTAAAACATGTTTTATGCTGGGAAGTGATAGCACATGCCTTTAATCTTAGCACTTGGGAAGCAGATACAGGCAGATCTTTGTGAGTTTGAAACCAGCTTGATCTACAAGAGCTAGATCAGAACAGCTAGGACTATTACACAAAGAAACCCTGTTTCAAAAAAACCAAAAAAGGCAAACAAACAAACAAAAAACAAACCATGTTTTGTGAACTTACTTGAGAATTTTATTTTAATAATCTGTGTTTACAAGACTTTAAATTAAAATCTTCTTTCTTTTCTGCCAGTGTGATCACCAGGTCTATTGGCTCTGTGAAATATTGAAATGATATTTTTATTCTTTCTAATAACTAATTTAGAACCTGTGGTTTATATTTATATACTCTAAAAGCTAAAAGTAAGCCTCAAGTCTTGGTTTAATTTTATTATTGGTCAAACATTGACAAGTAATAACATTCTTTTTGAATTCTCAATCTCATTCAATGTATGTAAACAATGATGACAATTTTAAACTTGAAGATGGTGAGTGTTAGACAAACTACATTATTTTAATGCATAAATTAAATCTTTGCAGTATAACGTCAATGATCTTCTTTATTTCTCCATGCATATCAGCATTATTAGTAGTACTATGATGGGTTCCTTCTTGCTTATAAGTTAGCATGACCTGCAATTTGATTTGAAAACCAATGCACTTTTATTTCTCTATTTTACTCACTTGCAGTACCATTAACCAGCTTCATGTAACCAGCTTCACGTCTAATAATTAGTGGAATGAGATTCCATGCAGTTTGATTTAAATATTTATACTTTGAGTTCTTATGGTGTTCAATCCTCTTGCTGTAGCCATTAGCTTGGTAGTATTATTTCCAGCTGCACCGCTTAAGCTCAAAGTCTGACACCTGCAACCGTGCTATCTTTCTAAGTTCAATTTTGCCATTGTAGTTCACGATGCCATAAGCAGTTCCTCGAGTACTCATTTTCAGATTCATCATCTCATTGGTGACATTGTGGAGGAACTGTGTAGCCTACATCCAGGGTATCTGACTTGGATCTCTCTCCTTTACCTACCTTGTCTCAGGCCCCTACCATTGATATCCGGCCCAGATCAGCAACCATCCAAATGAACAATGCCACACACCTTCAAGAGAGGGACGAGGAATATGGCTACGAGTGTCTGGATGGCAAGGACTGTGCCAGTTTCTTCTGCTGTTTTGAAGACTGCCGAACAGGAGCCTGGAGACATGGGCGAATACATATCCGCATTGCCAAAATGGACTCCTATGCTCGGATCTTCTTTCCCACCGCCTTCTGTTTGTTCAATCTGGTTTACTGGGTCTCTTATCTTTATCTGTGAGAAGGTATGGGTTTAGTGGATAAGGGTCTTATTCACTGAATCTCATGGAAAGAATATGTCTTTCTAAATCCAATTAAATAATCCCTTATGTGGTCATTGAATCGGTTTTCTGTCTCAACCTAGTAATATGTATAATGTCGTACTATCTGTGCCAACTCTCCTTTGGTTATTGTAATTTGAACTTCGATGTGCACTGTCTTTCAAACCTGCAAGGCAAAGTAAGCTTAGAACAAGGACTGTTACACTGAGCATGCTATCTTTGGGAAACAGCAATAGAATCCATGAAAGCCTTGAGTGTTTAAAGTGATGGTAACAGTCTTTGATTCCCACAGTGTAGGACAAAAGAGGCGAAACTGTGTGCTGTGTTCACTTGGAGTCAAGTTGTGGTAAATTGGAGCAAATAAGAATACCTCCCTCACTGGTGAAGAATCACAATAGAATAGCCTAGATTAGAATTCTATTAAACCTTTATTTCAAGGGAGGAAGAAAATTTCCTGCATATCATATGTACAATGATGTAAATATTTCAGTAATGTAGAATGCTTCCAGTTTAATGCATGCACCTCTTTAGAGCCAAAATAAATTACCTATATGATCATCATATAGTATTGTCTTTTATTTTGTGTCTTTGGGCTACAACAGAATATATTAACATAATTACAGAGATTTAGGCTTGAAATTGGAGGGGATTCACTGTCTTCTCCCTCATGCATGAAAATTCAGGTTTTAAAATTATGTTAGTCTTGTATGGCATTAAAAATTTGAATAAATTTAGGTTGATTGACATTTGACAGCTCTAAATATGCCCAACTTCATCACTAGCCTATAAACTCAATGTATGTGCTTGCTGTTGTTTTACCTTTCTTTGAGGATGTGAGTTCTTAATAGGACTCTCTCCATCTCGATATCTGCTTCTAGTGATGGTTAATGCCTTGTGGGCAGAGTCCTTATTATTTTCTTCTTTGGGTTCTCAACATCTTACATTGTGCCTGGCCCATAGTCAGTGCTCATTAAACATGGTTGAAAGCAATACACCCTCTGATAGTCTGGTGAATATCGTTTTTTATAACATAGAACAAGTGATTCATCTTTTCACATTGCTTTTGACCAGTGACACATTATCTGTCGAAGTAATCAGAGAACCTAAAGAACTGCAGCTTATATATTAATCTTCAAAAAATTGTTTTAAGCAAAGTCTCTATTTATTTTAAAATAACATCAGCTTTTACACATATGTATGCAATTGATGACTTGAGCATAGAGTTTCTTCATTATTTATCCAGTTTATTTTAAAGAATCAATTTAATCTGTTAAAAAATTTCTGCTTATGAACCTATGAAAGTATGAACAAAATTCATACCTGACTGGTATACAGTATGCAGTGTTCTGTGCTTGGAAAAAATGTACTGAATGTTAAATTAAAAACTGAATCAACACTTAGTGACTTACATGGATAACATTGAGCCTCTGACTGAAGGCTCATTTTGCTCCATAACAATTAAGTGATTGCCTGACTTCAGACATGAGTTAGACTTTAATGTCATCATTCTGAATCCTTATTTTTTTTAAAAAAATAATACCATATGGTCAGTTCTTCTTCAAGGAAAACACTAATTTAAATCAAAGTCAAATCATAGTTAGTATAACTTTATAGATAATGAAACTACAATTAAAGAAAATATCTTTGTTAATATACAATCACACAAAGTCATTGTAATTTATCTGGATGAATCTTGAAAACATTCAGCTGCTGGTTTTGCAAACCTTTAATATACCAGTGCTTTAGTATTTAACCTCAAACAGATGTAAATAGATGGTTATTTTCTTGTTTTAAATTGTCAAAATAGTCATTGTTGACTCTTGGGGAGAGTTGTTGGCAAATTCTAATTGTGAGAAACATGGCAGTAATGTCAACCTGAAATGTGTTCTGTAGTAGGGACACTGAGAAAAAAATTAAAGCTAGCTTTCCAACATGAGTATAATATCACCAATATGGATATATATTATATATAATCCAGTTCTTAATCATCAGCTGCTCTGTGTCTCTGTATTTGCAAATCTTTTCACAGAGAATTGCCTAACATATGAACTTTTCCAATAAAAATGCTGCATTCTAATTCATGGGGGCATCTCAGTTGTCTGGTTGAACTGTTTTGTTTCTTCTCTTTCCAATTTCATGTCCATAAACACAATTTAAATGAATTTTATTTGTGAACTTTGTTGTCAACATTCAGCAAGTGATTTTCTTCACTGGTAAAAAGAAGAAGAAAAGAAAAATGAAACAAACATTTTTGGTAGAGTGAAGATGGAAGACAGAAGTGTTAATGAAGTTGGTAAACTGGTCTTCTAATGCAGGACTCTTGATGTACAAAGACTTCTCAAAGTTGGGATTAAAGTGTCACTGGCACACTGCTTGAGAAGGCAACCATTAGAAACCTATATTTTATAAACTATAAATCAGATATAATAATGGCACCCTAATTAATGGCACCTAAAGAGTGGTGAATCATTCCAGTGTACCCACATAGTTCATTTCCTCCCACTCCAATCCAACCAGCCCTCTTACAAGACAGAGCTATCCTATTTTCCTTAAGGTTACACTGTGTAGAGTGGAACTTGATTCATAATTCTTTTTATTAAACTATACAGGAATGGCTGAGTGGAGAAAGCATCTGCCTTGAGCACGTGAATTCACTGCCCTGGAATCAGTGTAAAGACGGATACAGTAGCTTGCCCACCTCTCATCCCATTGCTCCCACCGAATTCCTGGAAAGTTAGGGGCCAGTTAGTCGGGCGTATGCAGTGGTTGTGAGAAGAGATTCTGTCTCAAACAAAGTTGAAAGTGGGAAGTGAAATGAAAGTGTGATCTCTGGCTTCCACATATACACCACGACAAGTTTGCCCCTCCCCCTAGACACAGGGGCACACACAGCAATAGAGAGAGAGGGAGAGAGATAAAATAGAGGTTGAAAATTCAGGTTTGTCAGAAACAAAAACAAAGACAAACAAACCAACCAACAAACAACAACAACAACAAAAAACAGTTTTATGAACCAAAAAGGCTCAGATAACCCCCAATGAATAACAGTTCCAAATTTGAAAACAGGGAGACCTGATGTTCTGTGATTCTGCAACCGACGGTGTCCTATTTTCTCAGAGGTCTTTAAAATTCTCCTGAGAATAAAGTAATGGAAACAGTCACTGACAAATTCATGATCACTTCCTCTGCATGTCTTTGCCTTGCCCTGCTGTGTCTTCCTGCGTCTGATTTAAACATCTGTTTCTCATGTTTTGGTCAGATCAGGATAGTTTTCTCAGAGGTCTTCTCTGATGTTTACCAAATGCCTTATCTTCAGCTAAGGACATATTCCTGTGTAAAGCCAGCATTTCTCTTTGGTCCCAATGCTACCTACTGAGTTCCAGCAGTAAACTTTGTGATGAAGGTCATATTAAATTGATCAAGTGTTGTGGTCTGTGGGGATTTTATAAAAGACAAAAAAATGAAAAAAGGGAGGGAGGGAAGAAGGAAGGAAGGAAGGAAGGAAGGAAGAAAGGAAGAAGGAAGGAAGAATCAAGAATATGATACAGAGGGGAAAATGGGAACACAAATAACCCTAATGGGACTATACAAAAGTTATAGTAGAAGCTTCTAGTCTATTCATGAATAAATCCAGGAAAGCATTGGTTGTACAAAGTTCTGCTGGATGCGAAACTCTATTTTTAATTTTAGATCTTCCTTTCTCACTGCTAGTGAGAAGTCATAGACAATTTACAAAATGTGAAGAACTGTCATTCACTCACTAGCTACAGGTAACCACACCAAAGGACACATGCCATTTTCTCCTCTCCACATGTGCTTAAACACATAGATTAAATTGACAGGTGGGTAAATTGATAAAACCATAGATACACATATGGATATCTATAAGTATGGGGTGGATAACATGCACATCTATATTTTTATACAATTTTACATGCAGATATGAGTTCATATAAAAAGCAGCTTCTGGATTTCTGTTGTTATCGTTCAATTCTACCACGGGAAGTTGACATACTTATTTATTGTTATAATTAATAATGCTGCTACATGAAACACATATGTCAGATATTATATGTGTTCCAGTAGATTCTATTCCAAAGAATGCACTTATAAACCTGAGTTTTGTTGAACAAAAACTATAATCATTTCTTAATTGCAGAACTGACAGAAAAGAGATAATATGCTCCATTAGATATTAAGAAAATTTATTACTTACCTTCATTTTATTAAGGATTATTTACTAAAGCCTACCAATAAAGAGATGGTATACAATTATTAGTTCAACTGAGAAAAGCCATTATTATTTACAGTGACTTCCTAATGTTATGGTTTCAAATTACCTAAACTTCGTGACTTAGCCCAATATGAGTTGTCATGTTTGATGGTTAGCAACCTCAACAGTTAGTGTAGAGATGACTGCCCAGAGCTGCATTTCTTCTGCATGCTCTCCTGACTTTTTCTAGGTTCCATATTTCTCTAGTACTTCTTGTCTAGTGCTCCTCTTTAAAGCCAGAAAGTATAGTATCATATCTATCACTTTTAGAGATTAGAATGTTGACCTTTGTTAGGAGCCAAGTTTCTGCCAATCATAGCACCCTAGAGATGAAAGATCATGAAATTATATACATGGGCCAGTGAGATAGCTCAGTAGGGCAAATTTCCTGCTGCCAAACTTGAAAACCTGAGTTCAAATCCCAGGACACTCTTGATGGAAGAAAAAAACTACATTCTGTATGTTTTTTTTATTCCATCTACATATTTTCCAGGGTATGCACACACTTTCACAGAACTTTGAATACACACACACACACACACACACACACAAATTTATAATAATAAATGAATGTTAAAAACTTACATAAAAGGAGACCTAAAGGGGATACAAAAAACAGAAGTCACGCACCAGATGCATTAGCTATAGATAAAGGCAGTGGCTTTTAAGAAGAAAAGCAATTTCCAGAGGGGTCAGACTCAGTCTCTTCACTATCACATGGTGAGGATTGACGCAAGGTGGATTCACAGAAGGAGATGGAAATCACCCTCTCTAAAACTTATCATAAATACATATTTTTATTTGTACTCTCCTGCATTATACATTTTTGAAGAAATTAAGATATTTGGTCTTTTCAATTGTAATATTATTGTGTTGAAAAATGGCCTTTAAAAAGTATTTCATGTTTGTATTGTCTTTAAAACTCCACAAGGAAATGAAAAAGAGCATTGCCAAGAATCTCAGCGTAATAACTGTTGAAAAGTTTGATACAGACAGGCAGGTAAGGGTAAGACCTTTCTTGTTGCACAATAAATCTTTTAAAGTTAAAAAAGAAATGCTAGAACTCTACAGTTAAGGGCCTGTGCTGCTCTTCCAGAATCCCCTGGTTTATAGCACCAGCAATCACATGGTAGCTCAAACCATCTGTTACCTCCAGTTCCAAAGTACCTGACCACTCTCTTCTGCCTTGATGGACAAGCACCCAATGTCTTGACACATACACATGCAACATACCATACATATAAAATAAAAATAAAGAAATCTTTAAGAAAAACACCATTTCAGAGTATTAG